TCCCTGCCGAGCAGGGAGCCCGATGCGGGACTCGATCCGGGGACTCCAGGATCATGACCTGAGCCGAAGGCAGTTGCTTAACCAACTGAGCCACCGAGGCGCCCCTCTAGGTCTGTTTTTTAACTGCAGAGTCGAAGGGCTTCAATGCGGATAAACGCTGAAGACACTACACTACTAAGGGAAAGAAGCCAGACACCGAAGGAACAAATGTTGTGTGGTTCCATTTACATGAGGTACCCAGAGTCGCCAAACTGATAGAGACAGAAAGGAAAACTCTAGTTTTCAGGGGAAGTAGGGGGTTAGTGTTGAATGGGTAGAGTCTTGGTTTGGAAGGATGAAAAAGTTCTGGGGGTGGATGGTGGTAGCTTCTGCACGACCATGCAAACGTACTTCATGTCACTGAACTGGACACTTAAAAATGGTTAAAGTGGCCAATTTTGTTGTGTATATTTTGCACAATAAAGTAAAAAAAAAAAAAAGATTCCACCTGCCATCTTGTTGTGTTCTCTAACTGCTTTGTATGGTGTTTTTGATACCTACACATCCACCAGGGACTGGACCCCCCTCCGACCCAAGCACTGTTATCTCTACTGAGGATGCATGAATTTTACATTATAGCCACGTGGAAGAGTTCCCAACAATCTCCAGGAGTTCCCCGGGGTCTCACAGAAGGCATCATAGAGCCAGCCTCCAAGGTGGGGCAGATTTGGACGAATGGATGTAGTAAAGGCGCAAAGAGAGGAGCAGATGGGAAATGCTAGAGTAGAGGGGCCCTGGGCCCCGAAGCGCAGGCGGCAAATGAGTCCCTGACTCTGGCCCCTCTGTGAGCACAGGGCACCCTGCCACGGGGGGGCCTCAAGGAGGCCAGCGTGGGGGCAGTTGTGGGGATTAGCCAGGGTCTTGGGAGCCCCGTGGCCAGGCTGGTGGGCTCCTTGGTGGGGGGGGGGGTGGCGCTTAGGTCGAGTCCCTGTTTTGTTTTGGCCCTGCCACGTCTGAGGAGCCTCTCAGAACAGGATGTAGGTCCAAAGGGCTCCAGCTGGTAGGCCCAGGCTCTGCCTCCTCCTTTGCCAGCAGAGACCCTGGCAAGCGGGCCAAGAGAGCAGTGTCGGCCCCAGGAGGCTGGATGCCTGCCAGCCCTGGCAGCTCCCTTCATTTCATTTCTTCCGCTTTGCCCAGAGGGGTGACCCTGGTGTCCAGCCTCCCTGCAGGCCCCAGACCAAGTCCCTCCCTAGACGCCTCCGTTCTCCTTCGCCAGGCGAGGCGAGGACTGCGGATGGAAAGGGCTGGGCTACCGGCAACCGGACCTTGAAGTAAAGGTTAACATGCTCACATCCAAGACCTGTCCTTCCCGGTGCTTCAATCAGAGGCCAGCTGTCAGCCACCCAAGTACGGCCATGAAATCACCCCACTTCTGGCCAGAACATGGTATGGACACTCTCAAAGGTCATTTTGCTTTGGGATTTCTACACCCCTGGGATTTCTACTTCCTGCTTCTAGAATGTGCCCCTTATAGAGTGCTTCCGATAAACCAAGTCTGTGCTAGATCCTCATTTAATCCTTGTGACAACCAGGTTGGGGGGTGGGGTTATTACCTCCAATTTACAGATGAAGAAACAAAGCCTTCGAGAGGTTAAGAAATCTGCCCAAAGCGACATGGCTAGCGAATAGCTCATCAGGGAAAGGTTAGGTTTGGGGGGTTGGGAGGGTCTCTGGCTCCTAAGTCAAAGCCTGGCTTTGGTTGAATCCTGTGAAGAGGCATTTCAGGGCTAAGTGATGTAAATCCCCCATCCATACCTCATACTGCCAGAGTGATGAAAAGGACTTTAAAGAGAGAACCAAGCCGCATTTATATGGTAGTTTGCAAAATACTTTGCACACGTGTTCCTCATTTTACCCTTAAGACCTTTCTAATGGGTGGCTGGTAGTGTTTCTTGTTGGTCTCACCATCAGCGTTTTACAGATTGGGAAGCTTAGTTTGAGGAGGACAGGATCACCACAAAGACAGCTGGAGGGCCGGCGCCCATAGTCCAGGTCCCACCGCGGCCCAGGGGCCGGCTGGCTCCCCGGAAGGAAGGAGGTCAGCAGTGACTGGGAGCTGCCTTTTTGCAATAAGAAGGCAAGGCTGTCTGCAAGATCCCGAGCCCCAGGAAGGTCCAGATTCACCCCCTTTCATTTAAGTACAAGGTGTTCTCTTTTGCGTTATCTGTCTGCCTGGGCCACAAACACAATTTATAAACAAGGCAAAAATGGCAGAGGAAAAATGAAGTCAGAATGTGCCATTGAAGCAAGTCAAACAATACTAAATTAGTATTTGGCTAAGTGGCTATCTCATTGTTAAGATATTTCCTCCAGTGTGTTTTCAGAAGCAACGGCCATTAAACAACTGGGAATGATCGCCAGGTTTGATTTCAGGAAGGAAATCCCCTCCCATTTCCCTGCTGGGCAATTCAATTAATTTTCTCCTGACCCTCACCAGCTGATTATTAGCAAAACTATACCTGCCGCTTTTATAAACAAAATGCATTCGCTTAAAGATTCCAAATCTCTTTCCTAACGGCTGGGCACCCCAGAGCTCCCGCCAAAAGGCTTTATTATTTTGGAGAGCAGGTCCGGTTGTGGGTGAGCTCTCAGGAGCATCCTGGGAGCAGACTTTTGGACCCACGGGCCAACTTCTGGGGGAAAGGAAAGTTCTATCTGTCCCAGAGCTAGAGCCTTTGTCCAGAGAGGCCGTTTGGATTGAAGACAAAGTAAATAAGTCGGTCCCGCAGGTCCAGCAGACCTGCCTTGGGTGGACACAGCTCTGTTTATTGTAGCTGGAGAGCATCTCTTTATCTGGGTCACACTGCCCGTGGAGCAAAGTTCTTACTTTCCACTCTCTCAAGGCTGTGATGGCTGGAATGGTGATGTCACTTCTTCAAGGGAGTCTTGTGTCGTGGACTGGCCAGGGAGTCCGGGGACATAGGTTCTAGTCCTGGCTCTGCTATGACCTAGCTGGGTGACCCTGGCCAGGCTCTTCTGCTCATTCAGCCTTTAGTTTTCTCACCTATAAATTGGGCCCCCTGCCCTTCCAATGCAAGTCTCTGGTTTCAGGAGTCTGGGTGGGTTTAGGCTAGAAAAAGACATTCATTTCATTCCCCTTTTCCTCAAATTGATAGCTTTCCTCCATAAAAAGAATGTCAGTGGTTTCCTGCCGGCAAAGGCGTAATGAGTTCCCTATTTTATAAGAATTCAGACTCCAGCAAAACAAAGGAAGCCAGGGGGCCCATTGGAAGGGCTACCAGCAATTTTGCAGAGAGTTCTTCCCAGACCTTAAAGAAGCAGTTCCTCATTTCTCAAGGTACTAGCTGCCCAGTTAGTTAACCCCTGCACTGCTGGGTAGTTCGTACAGAGGTCAGGAATGGGAAGACAGGAGGAGACAGGTCTTGGCAAAATTTAAACTTGGACCTCTACATTTTTAAAAAAACATATCCCTCTGCCAAGTAACAGCTTCATAAATCCTCAATTTCCTACAGAGTGAAACCTTGTATCGAGGCATTGGAGTCCTTTGCGTGCAAGCCCTAACTGACCTCTTCCTAGCACTTGTCCTCCACACCTTCTCTCCTCCCACTCTGAGCTGCTTGGCCTGCTGTGGTCAGACTCATTCCTCATGGCCCATCCCAGCGACACCTTCCTTGGGAAGGAGACCACTAACCAGGCCAGTCTCTCTTCCGCATTTCCATAGCGTCTCGTGAGTTATGATCACCTTGCTCTCTCATCAGTGTTAACTCATCTAATTCCCTCATTGGGTCAAGGACCTTGACAGCAGAGGGCCTGGTGTATTGGGGTGATGGCGTAGGCTCTCAGAGTTCAAAGTTTAAGTGAGCTGTTGGATCTCCCCTCCTCAAGCATACTCCCCCCACCCACCCCCCAGTCTGCCTCACTTCCAAAGCCTGAACCTGGACTAGGAGGAAATGTGCACTTTGCTCATGGGGAGCTAAGTGCGCTACATGCCCAGTCCTATGGTGGTGGTGACGGTGGGGGGGAGGAGGGGGTGGTATCCCTTCACAGGAGGGCTGAGATGTAATGATGGAACAGTGGGAGAGAATATTTGAAATCACAACAGGCCCAGAACACCCAGCCAGCCTGATGACCAACCTTCACTGTCCCAGGCTAGTTCCGAGTTGCCTGGGGCTCCTGGTCTAAAACAGAAAAGGCTGCTGTAGGGGTGTAATTAGTGGGAATGCAGAATCTGGGTGAGTTTGGAAATATTACACTGTTTGGTGGACTGTTTAAAAAATGTTAATGAAATGTGTACTTACAGAATATCTGTTTTCCATGAAATCTGCAAAACAAAGGATAACATGGAGGTAAGAACACACAGAGTGCCTTAGGCTGCCCCCAACCCATCTCAGGAACTCTGTGGTAAAAGGAAGGGGTGGGGGGGATGCAGAAGGAGACCCCTGAGCCAGAGGCTCACTGGGTGCTCAGCTGGATGGCTCCTTGGCCCACAAGACAGCTTCCTCTGGACCCTGTAGTCCCATGTGACAAGCATATAAAATCCTCGGCAGCTCATTGGACATTTAAAACAGTTTAAAGATTTTATTTTATTTTTTTAAAGTAATCTCTACACCCATGGTGGGGCTTAAACATGACCCTGAGATTAAGAGTCACACACTCGGGCGCCTGGGTGGCTCAGTTGGTTAAGCGACTGCCTTCGGCTCAGGTCATGATCCTGGAGTCCCGGGAT